ATAGATAAAAATATCGACAACAAAATCTATAGCAAATTCGATAAAAATATCGATAACAACATCGATAAAAATATCGATAACAAAACTGATACAAATATCGATAAAAATATCGATAACAAAATCGATAATAAAATCGACAGTAAAATCGATAACAACGTCGATAACAAAATCAATCAAAATATCGATAACAAAATCGATACAAATATCGATCATTATATCGATAAGTTCCGAAAATATCGATAGCAAAATCAATAATAATATCGATAAAAATTTCGATAACAAAATCGATCACAAAACCGACAAAATATCGGTTATTATATCGATAAGTTCCAAGAATCCCGAAAATCTCTAAAATCCCGAAATAGTTCCCAGATTGAGTCTCTGTTCCTCTATCTATATCCTTTTCTCTACAACTACCTTTATTTTAATCTTTCTTCCTCTATCTTCATCTTTACTTTTATCGGTATTCTCAACCTCATATTTTTCTTTATATTTATCTTTGTTTTTATTTTTATGTTTATCATATTCTTCATATACATATTCCCCTTCAACTTTTCCCCTTATATAAGTAAAGTGTTCAAATTTACCTTGGGCTTCATTTTTGCCTTTATCTTTGCGCAACTTTGTTTTTGTTTTTATTTTTACCTTTGCCTTTATCCTTATCTTTATCTATGTACGTACTGACCTTTACTTTTATTCTTGGATTGGTCTTTTTCAAGTGTTGTTTCACTTCAAAAAGTTTTCGCGTATTATGCATACATGTGTTCATAGATATATGTATGTACATATGTATAGACATACATAGATTACTAAAAAATTGAGCCAGATCCACATTAACTGCAATCAACATATGTACGTATGTATGTATTTACATATGTACGGGTACATACGCTGTGATTAGGTTATAAATATTGGTCCATTTGTTTATCAAAAACCGAAATATGTACTTACGCACACATACATACTTTTTGTCTCCTTCCCACACTTCCAATGCATGCACGTGTTTGCAAAGTGATGACGAAGTGATTTTGTATGGGAAATCATTTATGCCCATATATTTGAATCCAATAAACATCCTTAGAAGATATCAACCAATACTTCCCATATACCAAACGAAAGGAAAACTCTTGAATTTTTGATTAAAGAAAACAAAAACAAAATCATTCGAGCGGTTTTCGAGCATTTTGGTAATGAAAAAAATTTGCACATTTTTTCAACAATTTTTTGCCTTAAAATGCTCAATATTTGTTAAATTTATATAAAATTTGTACCCGATAATATTTCTACTGCTCCAAAAAACCTATATCCCGAAAATGAAAGTTATATATGCCAACAATAAGTTGCTAGAGCACTTTAAAGGCTCAAAATTGACCCCAAAATAAGGCAATGTTTACCGTTGTTTTTACGACAGAAACCGAATTAGTTCTCGTGCAATAAGCGTTTTTGTGAAGCTCTAAAAATTACAACTACAACATTTGAACATAACCCCCATACCTTAAGGTAAGACGTATTCTACGTCAAAAAAAAAAAAGAATTCAAGAAATCGGTTAACGTCGTCCAAAGTTATGCGGTAACATACATAAAAAATAAAATAAAAATTGTGAAGTCGGTTAAAAATAAAAATAAAACTTTTTAATATACCACGCTTCTATCAATGGACTAAAAAGTAGAAAATAATATTTCTCAGTCCCATAGAATTGGTTTTGATAACTTTTGATTTTGAAATTTTAGCAAAAGTCACCGAACCGAATTCTGAGATAGGGCGTTTTCGAACTGGCCGCCGAGATAGGTCGATCTTCAGCCCAGGTATGAAATGGTCTTTCATCAAAGAAATGCGAGCTCTCACTTACCTCGTTAAAGAAATGATTTTTTAAGCACTCAAAGCATCAAATTGATGGGTTATATGGTGCACAGCCCTAAATTGGCCCCTCATGTTTTTTTATACCCATACATCGAGGATAAACTCAGAAAAAGTGTATAAACCATGCTGCAAAATATCTGGAAAATTGAGAAGGCCATTTCTACCTGCCAAATTTCTTTTTTCTTAGATATTGTAAGGACTTTTTAGTGACTCTAATACAATCAAGTCATTTTCAAAATTTTAATAAAGCGTAAATTAAAATGTTTTACTAAAATTTTTTGTTCATGCCGCTCTATTTTATTTAACTTATATAATTAAATTATTTTTACTCTTCTCACAAGTAAAAGCTTAACGTTCACTCCTACCAATAATTGTATTTTTTATGCCACATATCAAATCGTAAATTGAAATACTTAATCCGGGTATTGAAAATTATGCATAAACGTCAATTTAAAGTGCCAATTGTAGTATTATTTTTCAGTGAAACTTTTTTCTGATTTGAACATTTACTATATGGAGGCATTTACATACATACATAAGTAGATCGCACACAAGTAAAATGTATTACGAGTATATGTATTATGATCGCTTTCATTTTTTAAAGTGGCAGAACCGCCTTACAGGCAGCCGCTGGTTGATTTTTTGGTTGGCAATACACCGCCAGCTGTCATGACTTTTGTGACACATCAAAATTAATTTATATTATGATATTTTGACAGTTTCATATGATTTTGCTTTTAATGTGACACTCACTCATACCTTTTATATGCGTATGTGTATTTGTATGCTTTTAGTCCTTTTCGCCATGTACATACACTCACGACACCCTTAACACATTTGCATAATATTTTTACTATTCACCCGCTCCTCTGCACTCACGTACATACATAAATATGCACTCGATTCATATGCTTAAGTGTGGATTTTTTCACATTCTCTGTCATTCAAAACACTTTGCGCAATCATCGCATTACATTCGTTTTAGGTTTCTCGTTATTGCTTTTTTGTGCAACTTTTCATATTATTGCCATTTTGTGTCATTTGAATATGGGGTATATGTGATAGCCGTACAGTTGAGCAGCAGTATTTTGCTGGTTTTCATTTTGACACTTTTCTTGTGGTTGCGAGTATGTTTCTGTTTTTTATTCAGTTTTGTATTTTAGGCGTTTTGTGTTTATTTTCCATTTCTGCAGTGTGACGAGTCTCCATGCCATTGTATAAGCGTTTTTACCCTAGATGTCAAAAATGCTTTCAACTGGTAAAAAATTCTTGAAGTGCATCAGACTTTTATGGTTCTACGAGGGAATCATCTTGTGTGAGACAAAATATCGTGTGATAAGGCATAAGGTCCCAGGCGGAGTACCTCAGGGATCGGTTCTAGGTCCGCTGCTATGGAACACAGTATACGATGGCGCGTTGAAATTAGTTGTACCTACAGAAGCGAAAATTATAGGGTTCGCATCGCAGTCGTCGTGGTTGGAAAATAGTACAGTAGCGACGATTGCCGCCGACTGGATGGAGTTCATGGGTCTGAGAACACACGAACGCTTCCGAGAAGGCGCAATCTATCCGAATAGCAGGAGGGACGGGATAGCAATGGCCGATGGATACTTCGGCTCATCCCTAATATCGAGACCTGGATTAATAGGGCGTACGGCGACGTAGACTTCAATATCACTCAATTATTAAGTAGCCTTGCTGCTTCAGTATTATTTACTGGGCTACAGCGAACACTAGTTATGTATATTCAGCGGACCGTCTTCTCGGTAACTTGTTTTGGTATTAAATCATAATTTACATATGTACGTTCTGGACATCAGTCTCTAGGTCGCCATGCTTGTTATTACAGGAATTCGCCGTGGTCTTGAAACCCTCAGTAAGTCACCTAACTCTCTCGCGCATTTTTTTCTGTCGGCGAGAATTTCAAGCTCTTCGCACTCACTTATTTCGGCCTCTCTCTTCTAAAAGCGGTAAATACGTCTCGATTCTCTCTCCAGCTCCCTATAACGCTCCCACATGACTCGCGTTGCGCCCGATCGTAGCGTGGCGGCATCTTTTTTCTCTCTGCAGCTTCTTGACAATTCTTTTCGAATAGCATGATCTTTTTAGACAGTTTTTCGAATGAAATATTCCAATTTAACCAAAAAACAAGCATGAACAAATTAACAAAATGGCCATACTGCTCAACAATATTTAAATATTTGTCACTGGATTTGTCATCAATTGACAAATGAGATATTTGGTCACCTGCGTAATTTTTATTTGGTTTATGTAGCAGCGTTGCGTTCATACGATTTGGCCACTAGGGTTCGTTTTGATTTGCCAGAAAAATGAACGTTCTGATAAATGCCAAATGAAATTTAGCGTTCACAGGGTTCGCCCATGAATTTGAAAATTTTTAGCCAAATGTACAAATCGTGTGAACCCAGCTTTAGATAAGTGTACATATTTAGGGTTTTCCATATAAACTCCTAAGTATGATGTGTTTTCTTTTATTACTTAGCAGAAAAGCACTCCAAATAATTTTTACCACTTTTAAAAACCCCTCTGAGTGTTAACGAAAATATACATGAACCCTTATTCGTTATATTCTCAGAGAAATAACCACAAAAGTACGGAAACGATTTCCGGGTAATAACTGGTAATTCCGTTAAATACATGATAGACGCTATTTTTTGTTTACATGGCTTTTTTATCATTTGCGGTTTGCCAAATTTATAAGCAGATATACAGGCAAATAAACAAAAATACTTACAAAACATTATTGCATTTTTTCAATACGATATTTTTTAATAAGATGGCGTGTTGCTTCTGTTTTTATTTACTTTGACAACACTTTATCAGATTTTAGCAGCAAAAATTCTTCTGGTAAAATCTTGGAACTTCTGACAAAGAGAGGACCCATTTTACTCTCCCATCTTTCCCCTATTTTGCCAGAGAACCGAGTACAGGAGCGCTTTCTGGTAAATTCTTGGAACTTCTGACGACATGATTTAAAATTTAAATGAGCAAAAAACTTTTTAGCACAATTTGTTTTTAAGTTTCTCGTTTGAGGTAATTTATTTTAACCGAAATTCTAATTTTGCAGCCCTGGGAGGCTCCATCGCTCCATCGACTCACTCTGTATCCGCCCATCTAATGGCAAATGATATTAATGCAAATTTTATTTTAATTGCCAATTTTTTATTTCAAATTCGAGTGTGCTCGTAATTTCGGTGCTTTTATACGTCGTTTAAATTGCTTCACTTCAATAGCCTGTACATAAAGTATGACCGTACCTATATCATCGTAGGGGAATCCTTCGAAGAAATGGAAAACACCCTTATAGAGTCCCAAGGGTGGTTCAATGGGTAAAAACTTGTCATCAATAAAGAGATTTTTAACCACTAGGCGTTTCTGAAGAAGAGCGAGTTAGAATGAAATGGCAAAAAGAACTTGGGTTAAAAAAATCGGAGCTTTAATTAAATCCCTCGCAGCCGTATTTTCGTGAAATCTTATGCTGGGATCACACGATTTGTACATTTTGGAAATCACAATGGGTTGTTGTCTAAAAATTTTTATTCACAATGAGTTCAGTTCAATAAAAAATTGTCCCAATAACCCCAACAACTTTGCAACTGTTAAATTGTACAAATCTATACAAATGAACAAATCGTGTAATCCCTGCTTAAGAAAATGCATTCACTGAATTCGAATTAAAGCTTTTTATGAACGTATGGATTGAAAGTACAAATATGTATGTACACCTGCATGTCAAGTTCGCAGCTATTCAAATTCAGTTCTTGTATTTCACAAAAAATCGTACCACGTTGGATTCAGTGTTAACCCCAAATAACAAAAAGCTCCTCACCGTATATGGACAACTATGATTCACATTCGATACTTCTTTTAGTATATTCATTACGGTTGTTGTGTAGGCGGGAAAGTTTCGTCTATCCAGAATTTTGCACAAATTGGCGGTGACATTGACTAGAAATGGTTTGTAGTGATTGGCGGTATTTCGCAGAAAAAGTTGCAAATTAAGCTGTTAGAAGTGATATTGTATATGCAATTATTATTAGTTTAAGAATGTGGCACTCATTTATAGTGTTATACAGTATATACATACATACACTTATTTATATGTATTTCTTATGCACATGAGACATTACCGAAACATTTTTCAAACGATCCACAATATCACATTCCATATTCGTGTGCGATCGGTAGCGACTGACTGCCTTTATGCCACATGTAGAATTCCTTATGTATCGAGCATTGGGAAAGCATTCGATTTTCTCTGTTTTATAAAAAATAAAGCAGTGGACCTGAAAAAAATAGTAAATTTTTTTTTAGAAAAGAAATGTAACAAAATTGTCTATATATTTCAATTTATGTAAATACGCAGGAAAAGTACGCACCGCAGTAGCAAAAAGTACCAAAAGCAAAGCTGCGTAATACATAACAAACGAAATCTGAATGAGTTAGAAACAAAACGATAACCGCAAAATAAAGCTACAGAAGAATTGAACTTATAAAAAATACACATGAGCTATTGACAATCTCTTTTTAATTGATTTGTAATTGAATTTAAATATGTTTGTAATTGCATTAAAACGTGATCTATATGATTACGCATAAGTTTTCATTGGAAGTTAGTAAAAGTGATTTAGTTAGGCTCATTAAGTCTGCAATTATTCCCATTCAGTCTGCAATTATTAAAAAACCACAATTTTAAATGCAAATATTTTTCATCAACACTTCAAAGCACTTGAATAGGGACAATGGTTTTTGGGCTTTTTTTCTCGGTTATTTTTCTTTTATTTTATTCTGATTATTTTTAAATTCAAATGCAGTTCAGACGTTAACCATATAAACGCAAGTTTTAGTTGTAGAAAATTATGCCACTTCTGTACATTTAGCGGTTTCTATCAACTTAACAAAGTTTTTTCAAAATGACTCTCATACATATGTATGTCATCATTAAAATTGTTAATTAAATTGATTTTTATACCCGAGCGCACTTGTGCACAGGCGAATTATAGCTTTCTTGGCATAACGGTTGTTCGTAACAGCCAAAACCAGGCGCCGAACATAACAGTTATTGATGAAAACTGTCATTGAAAAATTCACTATGAAGGATATGTTCTGCAACTAAATTTTACATACCAATAGATTTCTTTTTTTCACCGAGAAGCAAATTTGAATATAAAATTTATTTCTAATTTTTATGAAAATTAAAAAAAAACAACAATTATTTATGAATCCAAAATTACAATTATTTTTGATTTTTATTTTATGAATCCAAAATAACAGTTCTGTTTGATTTATATATTATATGTCTTAGATAACAGTTATCGAAGACTTTTATTTATAAAGGTCGTCAATAAAAATCAGTTAGTGACTTTTGCCATGTCTTCAGTAACTGTTATCTAAGCCATTTGATTTGAAAATCAAAAAAATTGTTATTTGTAGATTATTTAGATAAAAATGAAAAATAATTCTTATTTTGGATTTATTAAATAAAAATCAGAAATAACTATTATTTAAGGAGTAATTAAATAAAAGTAAACAAATAACTGTTAAAGAGCGATTTTTTTAAAATAAAAGTTGTAACTGTTACGGCCCCTGGCCAAAGTGAATCGAGAAAGATATAAACACATACATATATATATTTTTTATTTTAAATTGTATCTATTTTTTTTAACACACGTATGCAGTTTGGTATGTTAACAATGGAAATAAAGAAGCCTAAAACTGTAAGGCAAAATTTATTTCAGTTCGAATATTTAAAAATCGTGCAGATTTGGGCTCGATTATCTCGTAAACGTGAGCTAATGGAGCAAAACTGATTCCTGTTTCAGATTTAGGGCATCAAAAGCCTTTGGAAAAGTATGACCTGATCCCTAGGTCTGAAAAATGTCTGTGTTATCTTAGAAACGTACAAATCATTGAATGCCATTATGCATAATAAAAAGCAGCGGGTTTCTTGTGATTTGAAATAAAATCTTACAGAACTAAACAAACATTTATTTAATTTTTCTTAAATTACAGCAATACAAGAAAATAACGAAACTCCCGAAATCAAGGGACTTGGTTTACGCACATCTCCGGATTTCGGGATGTTAAAAGTTCTAGAGAATCCTCTATTTTTCCTCGATCTGTATCGGTTGCCTGCTTTTGCATCGCATGATTTTCTTCCAACTGGTTGACCTTTTTTTCTAAAAGCCACACTGGTTTGGAGGAAAGTAGTAAATCGTGTAAGATTTAAGTCATATTTGCTTCTTATTTATTAGCACAACCATACCTCTTCACGTTAGTAACTTTTTGATTTTTTCCTTTCTGCAGTATTTTCGTTACTAATAAGGTTATACAATAAAATTCGATTCCATTAACGAAAAAAAAACCACAAATTCACAGAGATTTTTTTGATTGATGTAGATTTATTTACTGATCACAACACTCCGAAAAAGTTAGTTAAACATATTTCTCTTAACACATGATTTGGTTATAGTTAAATTATTTTGTTATAGTCACCAAATTTAGTTGATGTGACTAAACTCTTTTTTTCAATGTATAGATTAAATTAATTAAAAGCCAGTATACAATTCTATTGAAAAATTTTCACTAAATTAGAGTAAGCCCAAAATCAATTACACGCCACACAACAGCAACTAAAACTTCTGCGCTAAAATATAAGCTAACGCGTACATAACGCACGTACATACATATGTACCGATTTAATTGTACGCTTGCACATTAGAATGTGCGAAATTCGATATGCGTACTGGCACTAGAGCGGCTCAATTTGTATGGAAGATTTTTTCGACTATGCGCGTAAAGCACAGGAGAATTTTAGATGTAATTCTAAGCAAATTTGACGAAGAAATCATGGTTCAAAAATCAATTTGGAGTTTGCCGGCAAATTGCGAAAACTGGTTTCTTAGCATTTTACTCCATCGTTTAGCAACGCTTCTCAAATAAATTTTGGATAAAACCTCTTCCGTTTGTACCCATAATGGACTACATATTTTACTTGACTTATTTATAAAACTGAATTTTAATTTTAAAAAAAGGTGGCAACCCTTTATTTTTATTTTTTTAAATTGAAGGGGACTTATCCGATCATATTGTAGTATTTAATTAAATTTATTAATTAAATTGAAATTGAATTTTTAAGCAGAAAATGTTCTCTATATTAAACCAGGTAATGAACTATAGTGCAGTGAAATGACGCCCACGGAAATATCGCCCGTAAGCTTTATTTCCTTACATACGTAATGTGTGAAAATTAAATAATTAAAATTTTCAACAAAAAATTTTCAGTAAAAAGTTAAACACATATGTAGGTACTTCCGTCGACTGCCTTTTGTCGGTGGACCTTATTTCCATTTCAAAGGAGAAATAATGCCCGCGGGCTTTCTTGCATTTTTTTAAGGAAATAAAGTGCGAGAAGAACTTGCAAACATTCTCACTCACTCACTTACAGCTGTGTTGAAAAAAAAAATAGGGCCGCTGTATCATTCCCATCAAACAGGAAACTCATGTGTTACACATAAAGGATGCCCATAAAAAAGTCAAAAAAAAGTAGATTCTGGATATTTTTCAGAATACTTAAAATTTCATATATTAAAAATATTTGTTTATTTGTACACTAGGGCTTAAACCAAACAATAGTGCTAAATTGAGCTGATCAAAATAACAGTACTGGTTACTTTAATGAAGTTAAAATTAAAACTATAGCTAATGTTTTGTACTACTTTTTGCTTATTTGTGTCTGATATCTTGTATTAAATATTTTTCAGTTTAATTTGGATAAATTTTTGTTATTCCAGAAGGCCGCTAAGATCCTGATAGATGGCGACTTATACGGATTTGAGCCCATTTATCTTTAAGAATTGGTTAGATCATTGTTTTTGTTAAAAGATTTGTTGCGGTTTTGATTCCTTTAACCTTTCCTCGCAGGCTTCTTATCCTTTTGGACGCAAATAGCTGTTTGCGTAGTTTACTGGTACTTTTTCTAGCTCGTTCATCTATTGGACACCTTTTTCTGGTTGGTATTTTCCAACATTTATGTAGTACTAATATGATTTTCTATAAAATAAAGTAAATTTTTTATCCGCAATTGACGTTGATCCCATTATGTATGAAAAACTTAGATGTGAAGTTGATGTGTTGCGACACCCTAATACACAAACATACTAACGCTGCACATTCACTTAAACTGTCACAGCAGTGTATTTGTAACACAACAAAAATAATTTAATGCGGTTTTCAACAACTTTTCAAATGCCACCAAATTTATTGAGATTTCAATGTAACAAAACAACTCGTTACAGCTGAACAATTCAGTATGCAAACGGGTGTGAATATTGTACTTTATACTTATTTATTTACCAGTTAAACTCTACGCGTCGATGTGTATGAAAACAGGCAGCTAAAAGCAAATGAATAATAAATTTCGCGCTTTCAGAATGCAGCAGCATGTTTGAGTAGTTGATGAAATACGTTTTTGAAATTTGTGATGCACATAAACCTAATACATATGTATATGTATGTATATTTCAGAAAAAGTGCACAAAAATCTGTGTATGCGTTGGTTTTTATACACAAATGTCTATGTTACCATCTAAATCGCGCCATGAAAAAAACACCAAGCGGGTGTTGAGAACCGCCATATGCCAATCCATTGGAGGCAAGCGCACTGGGGCGTATACGTAACATAAAGTGCTGCACGATGTAAAAATGTCGATTAAAAAAAGAAAAGAAAAAGAAATAAAACCAAAAAGAAGTTTAAATAAAAATAGATTAGCACATGGAAAAACTGCGCAACGGAAAACAATGACAACGACACAATTCAGCGACAAAGAAGTAAATAAAATCAAATGTTAACAGAAGCAATAAAAAATTCTTCAAAATGCATTGCAATCCGTTGAAAGCAAGCACTTGTGTGTGTGTGTGTGTGTGATTGCAAGTGCGGATTAAATCTGTGCGCGCCATTTGGCAGCCAGCAAAAGCTTATACATATATGTATATGTAATATGTAGCTAGCGAAATTCAACGCAGCATGGAAATAAAGGCTGCTGGCAGGACTCTGGCTACTGTTGTGGCATGTGGCAAATTTATGGGATTAGTTGCAGTCAAGTGGAAATTTACATCTTTGTTTGGTTGGAGAGCGTTTTGTGATTTTGTTTAAATGCATTTGCATGCGATTGTGTGTATGGCGCGGATTTGTGTTCAATAAACTAATTTTATTTGCGCGATAAAATCAATTGACGCTATCGGCTACCACAATGCTAAATGTACATACATATCGTAAACAAAAAAA